TTTAACCATGCATTCTAAAAAAATTCAATATTCAAAATTTCATTTTCTTAAAATAATGGCCATCAAGCAGGGAGTTTGGGGGCATCCCACTTTTATCTCTACTCTCGAATACGGATTTATTCGAGATTTCAAAATGAACACGTAAAAATATGTTGGATAATTAAAAATCTAAAAAAAGCACAATTCAAGAATAGCATAGCCTTGTGATAAACTTTTCCCTCTCTCACATATAGACTTCGAACCGAACACATAAAAATGTGTTGGATAAATTATAGTTTATAAAAAGCACAGTCCAAACATAGCATAGCTCTATGACCCCTCCCTCTCTCTCTCTCTCTCACACACACACACACACACACACGGACACATGAACTTCGATCTAGAAGTGCCAATATGTATTTAGACCATTTAATTTATGGATTAACCTCTATGTACATAATTTTTTTCACAGAATTTTGAATTTTATCTCACATGGAGGTGGGCCCCATGTTAGATAAAATATTGTCAAAACTCCCCCACCCATCCCCCATTGTGTGGTGTATGTAAGTACAGGATTTTTGAAATCCTGTACTTGTAGCATGACTCTTAATTTATAAAAAGCACGATCCAAACGTGCCATAAGCTAGCCGCAACTATAGAAGCTTGTGCACTGGTGCTCTAAAAATCTTCTTGTGGGAGCTCTAACATGATTATGCTCATATATTGATCCTATTATGTTATCATTATCATACCAGAAAATGTGTGATGATACCATAGAATTTATTCTCTTAGTTTTCCTAGTAAAGTGAGATACCTCATTCTTATTTTCAATCACGTGTTCTCGAGTCTCGACACGTTAGTCCACAAGGGACCGGGGTGCAAAATTTTTAAACCAATCCACGAAGTATTGCCGTCGTTGTAATGGCGACTGCAATCACTTTCATGGACTTTTGCTAATTTAAAAGGTTGTTCATAACATTTTTTCCCCCTAATTATGTCAAATTGATTTCGTAATCCAATGTGTATGACCTTTGATAATCCTTCATTAGTGATTTGAATTCTTTCTCCAAGAAAATTTACCATATATATATATGCACGAAAAATAGTCCATCGGTACTTATGTGAAAATAGTTCAGAGTATTTAATTATAAATTCGACCTTCATTTTACGTAATATTTTTCTTAGAGAGGAAAAATTTGTACGTAACGAAATTTGTATAGTCTGTTGACGTTGAATATTTATTTGCCCCCTTTTTTTTCCTCAACAAAACTCGTGCATGTCATTTTAACTTGTAGCAAAAGAGATGGATGTCGGCATTATCCCATTTTGAGTGAGATTAGATATTTTTGTCTTAACGGATCTAGGATAAAAAAATTGACATTTTTTACAAAATTTTAATTGTGGAGACAAAAATTGAAAACTATAAAGATTTTTTTTTTTTAAAATATTGGGTAAATTTTACTGGCCCACGCTAAATCCGTTCCTGATCTTAATAAGCAATACGAAAAAATTAGCTCGAGTGTGAGTGTTAGCGTAAAATTGAGGTAAGGTAGTCATAGAGTTTCTATTATCAAACTTAATTTTCACAAGTTAGAAAGTAAAAACCTAAGGACAGGGTTAATACCCCATATAGTCATTGAACTTGTACAAAAATTTCTAGGAGGTCACTGAATTTCAAATTTCCCCTAAATAATCACTGAACTTTGTAAATTTTGACCCAATCCATCACCAACCTCAAAATCAAACAATTTTTGATGATGTGTAAGTGACGTGGCACACATATGTTGGCCAAATAAGCAAAACAGATGACGTGGACTCTTCTCTCCCATACCCATCTCTCTCAAACGGACTGAAACATGATACCACCATAGCCACCAACTATGATACCTCAAACCACCAATGCCGGCCGCCTAGACCGCCGGATACCATCATAGACGGCATTGCCTCACTCCCCCAACATCTTCCACCAAATCAGCCACAAAATAAAGCCAAAATCAGCTTACTCACGCACACTATCTTGGCCGGAAACCCAACGTCCGGCGACACCTACGATCGCACACCACCACAGTCAGGTAGCTCTCGAATAGGCGACCTCAAATATGGCTTCACCTCAACCAAAACAATGTCCAATCAATCTGCACTTGCCCATGAACCTTCGACAGTCACGCCTCCATTTTTGTCAAAACCGTCTCCTTCAATTCCAGCCCCAAACTTCATTGAACCTACAAATTGGCATCACCTGATCCAACAACAGGCCCAAACGATGCTGGGTATGAATTCAATCGCACCAATTATCCCCCAAGTCGCTCCAATTTCTAGATTGGAACTTGCAAATAGAGTGAATTAAATTTCTGTTTTGGCTTGATTTTGTCACTGATTCCGATGGGTTTTTTACCTGTGATACTGTGGAAAATGTTGAGGGGAGTGGGGTGATGCTGGCTATGGTGGTATCCGGCCGTTTAGTCTGCCGGAAATGGGTGGTTACAGCCGGAATTTGGTGGCTTGAGGTGGTAGGTGGTGTCCAGTTTCGGTGGGTTTGAGTCTTTGAGAGAGAGGAGTCCAAGTCATCATGTTTTGCTTATTTGGCCAACATATGTGTGCCACGTCACTTACACATCATCAAAAATTGTTTGATTTTGAGGTTGGTGATGGATTGGGTCAAAATTTACAAAGTTCGGTGATTATTTAGAGGAAATTTGAAGTTCAGTGACCTCCTAGAAATTTTTGTACAAGTTCAGTGACTATATGGGGTATTAACCCGCTAAGGACATAAAGATAAGTATCAATTGTACAACCTTTGAAACATAATTATTTATACTGACAAAAACATTTGACTAACAAAACATCAAATTGATAATAATTTCGTATCATCATCGACCTTGCATTAAATAAATCGGTCAATAATCAAGTTAAGAGAAATGTTTTGAGTTTAAAAATGAAAACAGGGAATGCCAGCCAAATTGAAGAAAACAACTCTTTTTGTTTCTACATTTAGGTCCTGTTTGGGAGGGATTAGTTTTTTTTACAGTAAATCAATTCTCATTTTCAATCATACATTCTTCAATAAAATAATATTTTCCATCACATCAATAATTTTTTTTTCTTTTTCAACCACACATTTCGGATCATATCACTATTCAAAAATCAATTCTTTTCCAAAAATCCCTAACCTGGACCCACGCTTTACAACTCTTGCTTATCCAAATTTGTGATCACCCTGCCCAACTCAATTATTTGAGGCCCTGTTTGGGAAGAATTAAATTTTTCTACAGTAAATCAATTCTCATTTTCAATCATACATTCTTCAATAAAATAATATTTTCCATCATATCAATAATTTTTTCTTCTTTTTCAACCACACATTTCCCATCATATCACTATTCAAAATCAATTCTCCCCCCAAAAATCTCTCCCAAACAAGCTCTTATATAGTTTTGATTTAAGTTGAAATAATTTAAATTTCTCAGGGCCATCTTTCGATGAACTGCATTAAAAGTACTTAAAAGGACTTTCTGTTGATTTTCAAGAAGACGATTAAGCGCCATTTGTTGTAAAACAGAACGTCGACCACGTTGAATTTATTGTCTAACAACTTGCATAAATTGCTTTTTCAACAAAAATTGTAAATTGTGGTACTCTCAGTACCTTATCCTCGAACAAAATTAACTTGAAGTCCCCTTGATAACAACTTTTAATTATTGCAGAATGGTATCTATGATGGAATGAAACTCGTAATATGTACTAATATGATAAAAATTATAACGATAACGACTATTCTTATCATAATTGAAAGTTGATAGGATGGAATGTCACTCGCATATAAATCACCTCAAAATTGTTTTGTGCAAACACTAATATGATTATGTTCATATATTAATTCTATTATGTTATCATTATCATCTCAAAAAGTTTGTGTCATGATACTAAAGAATCTCTTCTCTTAATTTTTTTTCTAAATAAATTGTGATAGATTAATGTAATGAAGTATTGATTGTGATAGATTAATGTAATAAAATATATAATTACTCTCAATGGATGGTGTGGACCAGCCTCATCCATTTGGTTTCTAATTCAATTCTAGCAAACATAAGTAGAGAATGCCCTATATCATAAATATTCAACCAAATAATGGTGATAACATATATATGCAATATTTTTCTTAGGATATAGAAAAGTTTAGACGTAACGAAATTTGTACACTATGTTGACATCGAAAATTGATTTGTCAGCTATTTTTTTCTCAACAAACTTCGTAGAGGTCTATTAATTAACTTTCCACAAAAGATATGGATCTCGACGTATCCCAATTTGAATGAGATTAGATATTGTAGTCTAATTAAGTAATATGACAAAATTAGCTTGAGTGTGAGTTTCGATGTAAGGGAGAATTTCAATTATCGAAATTAATTACGCTAAGTTAGATATACAAAGACTTAAAGACGCGTGTCAAACGATACAAGCTTTGAAAATCATTACTTACGCTTACTAAAATATTTCACTTACTAAACTCCAATCGATAATTATTTCTTATCATCGACCTTCCATTAAATAAATCATATCTTGCATCAAATGTATCTCAAGGGGTAATAGTTAATAAGTGCACCTTGGCTATATTTTCTCTTTATGTGGGCTGGGCCGTTAAATACCAGGTGGCCCAACTCACTCTCGCTGAGCAGGAAAAGTAAGAAATTGTGCATGGTGGGTTAAGCATCACCGTTTTGCACATGTCTTTCAAGTTTGAAACATGGCAAAGCCTTAATCCTTTTCACAACGTCGCAGCCTATACATTCACCTATACATACACTCCGTTTTAATTTACTTTTATATCCTCAAAATCTCCAACTACCCCTTTCTTTTCTTTAAAACTCGTGGGCTTTTCCGTCCAGTCAGAGTTTCCCCTCTTTCTTCTTGCACTACTACCCCAGTATGGCAGTGTCCCTTTCATTTCTATTTCACATATTACTTCTCCAATTATAAGGAGGAAGAGAGGTTAATTGTTTTCGGAAAAGTTAAGATTAAGAATGGAGCACCCATTTTTTCCGACGACCACCACAAGCGCCGAGGTGTTGAGGTTGCTGACGATCGCGGAAGAGCTGCTTTGGAAGCGTGACCTGATGAGGAGTAAGTCGTTTGCGACCCGGGCGCGTGATTCTGACCCGACCCTGTTACCCGCTGACCAAATTCTGGCTGTGACTGACACGCTTCTCTCTGGCGACCGTCGGATCGGGAATAACCTGCAGGACTGGTATTCGATTCTTCAGGTCTCGCCTCACCAGGGCCGTGACATGGAGGTCGTGGCATCTCAGTACCGCCGCCTGGCTCTTCTCCTCAACCCACTTAAGAATAAGTTCGCATTTGCTGACCAAGCCTTCCGCCTCGTGCTTGAAGCCTGGACGGTGCTTTCCAATCCTTTGAAGAAATCTTTATACGACAAAGAACTTGCTTTCTATATGCAGCCACACCTGCAGCCGCAGACCGACCTGTTCAACCCCCTGCTCGTGCCTCAGGAACATCTGAGCATCCCCACATTGCAGCAGAACTTAATTTTCTTTGGGGATAACAGTGCTGGTAGTATGAGTCACCCTTCTCACGCTCAACCTCAACCACATGTACATGGTGGCAGCAGCAGTTCTGCGACTCATTTCCCTCAAGTGCTGGTACATGCGCAACTGGTTGACCCAGTGACTGCTGGGTCAATTCGAGAACACGCAAGTAAGCACCAACCACAGAATTTCATTAATTTTAGTTCAGGTACTAATATGGTTTTTGGGTCTGGTTCGGGGTCGGAGTCGGCTCAAGAACCCGTGAATAAGCAGCAACTGCAAAACTACACTTGTTTCACTGGTAATGTACCTTCTGTTTCTGGGTCAAATCTTAATGTGCATGCCAATGAGAACGTGCAAGAGGAGAGAGTGGATGAACCAGAAGTGAAGAGAATGGATGAACCGGAGGTGGAGGAGGATGAAGAAGAAGAAGAGGAGGAGGTGGAGGAGGAGGAGAGAGTGGATATACCCTCAAATGACAGTGGCTCTACGTTCTGGACTGCGTGTCCTTATTGCTATCATATGTATGAGTATCCTGGGGTGTATGCGGAGTGTACTCTCCGCTGTCAGAATTGTAGAAGGGCCTTTCAGGGCGTGGTGATTCCATCACCATCTCCAATTGTGAATGGGCAGGAGAGTTACTTCTATTGCTGGGGATTTTTGCCATTGGGAGTTTCAATGGAAAATATGGAGAAAAATAGGGGTCTGACTTCGACTTGGAACCCGTTTTCGCCTATGTTTACTTGCCCTCAAATGGGGAATGGGAATTATGTGGATAAAAAAGGTGAACGGAAGGCTTCAGCTCCTAGGGTATATGTTGAAGATGATGAGGTTTATGTGGAACTGTCAGACTCAAGTGAGTCCAATGCTGATTGGCAGGGTGATAGACCAAAAAAGAAGAACAAAGTGATGAATGTGCAAGGAAAGAGTGCCAGTGAGACACCCAAGAAAGCGACAATTGGAAATATCAAGAAAAGACGAGTTAAAGAAAAGAATGGGAATGCAGAAGATGAAATTGTACCCCCACAAGGGAGTGAGATGCTGAATAAGTCAGTGGGTAAGTCAAGTAAGAAAGGAGGAGCTGCAGGTAATGCTCGGAAGACGCAATTTGAGAAGTTGGATTTAAATGTGGAGTTCAGCAATGAAGTCGAAGAACCTGCACCAAGCATGAACCAGGAAAATGGACCAGTACGTGGTGAGGATGATAACATCGAAGGGATTGGGTTTTTTGAGGGTCTCGATGAATTCCTAAGCAGTCTTCCAATTCTTAATGCCGTAGGTGACGACAAGGTTGTCAAAGCTGTGTAGTTAAAGAAGACTGCTTTTTGTTGCAATTGTAGTTGATGACATGGTTGTCAAGCTTTAGTGAAACAAGACTCTTTTTTTTATAATTTTAGTGGACGACTTGTTTGTCGAGGCTGCTTAGTGATGTAAGAATCTTTTGTTGTGAATTAAGCTAATTAGTAATGAATGATGTGCAATAACTCTGGTAGTTTTCTTAATAGTTTTGCCGTTAGCAATTTAATGTATACAGTGTCGTGTAGTGGCTTTTCTTATATGTTCTATAGCCAGTACAATTAGATTACCATTTTTTGTTGAATCTATATTTCACAATCTCAAACAATATGTCAGTAGCTGGAATTGGCTTCACTGCCTTTCTACGTCGTGACATTGTTTAACTGAAAGTAAATACCATCTTTATGATATTTATTTCTCACAGAACTTATAATCTTTCTTATTTTCTTTATATTTGCTCCGGTTTTTGAATTTTCTTACGATTGTGGTTACAGTAATTGCCTTGCTAAATCCATCTGTTACAGTTTAGGTCGGAGATTTTATTTACATCACATTTCTTCTTGAATTAAGAATCTTGTATTATTTGGGTAATGTGTGATGGAAGTATGGAAGTTTCTGATTGTCAATGTTGCATATAGACACATCTCTTCTCTCGACGTGAAAGAGATGAGAAGTAGATAGTGTGTAGCATATGTAAAGCCTTCATTAATGCTTCTTCTCAACAGAAATTGCTATGCTGATTTTTCCTGTTCTCTGTCTTGAATGGCCCTGAAAGTGAACTTATCTGTGTCTTAGTGGACCTTCACTTTGCTTTTTGAGCTACTGGTTTCTTGCTATGGAAGATCATGTAAGACTTCACAAAAATAGCAGGGAATGTTAACAGTTAAAGGTTTTTGGTTATGTTTTTCACTTGGCTCAAGTTTTAGTACTATTCTGCTCATACAAAATGCATTATTGGATCTGGATAACATGTTTGAAGGAAGAACCTCCACAGCCGGTTGCTGTTGTTATTTCATGTTTCAAGTACAAATGCCACTGGTTTTTATTGTAGTTATAGGTTTTCTGCTACCTGTACAATTTGTATCAAAGAAACACTGATTACTGCATCTGCATTTGGTTTGGAGCTTGCTCCATTCATTCTCTTTCAACCAATGAAGCAAGGAAGCTGCTTGCACATTGAACTGCGATGAACAAATATAGTTGTGTTATGTGTTTCTGTTAGTTATTGCAGGTGATTTTGTGCTATCAGGCTTCATTATTAACAGTGAAATCGGATATCATCTTTGTTACTTCTTTGTCTGTCGTCTAATATTTTTGGATCACCCCAAGGGATAAGGAGCATTACTTGGAAGGAAAATTTACTCCTAAAGGTAAACTCTGTGTATTTTTCTAATCTGGTATGTATGAACTTTGCAAAAATGCTTCCTTCAGTCACACGTCATGCATCATGGAGTAGTTGCTTGTGGATCTGATCATAGAGTTTCGCTAAGGTGTTCACATGCGGGTCTTTGTTACTTCTGTTGTGCTCTGGCTATGTAATGGTTTTCTCCCATATCTTTCGAATTTTGTTGTCAGGTAAGAATGATTGAAAAGTTCAGGTTGGTAGTTTCTGAACCTGGAGTTCAGTTACTTGATATTGCTGTTCTGCTGATACGAGTAATTCCGTTGTTTCTTATGTGGGTAAGAATGATGCTCAAATTTCATTATGACAATATCTTCAGTCTGAGTGTTGGAGAGAGGAGGATTAGAGTTACCATATACTGTTAGTTTTTACATAAGGCTTCGTTTCCTTATTGGGAATGTAGCTATATGTATTTGTGACTATTGTAAATGATGATACATAATAAAAGACCATCGTTTATCCTGTCAACGTAGACACATTGCCGAACCACAATATGTCGTTTGTTATTATTAGTGCTTTATTTTAATTCAACATGATACCAGAGAATGCACAACAAATGATTTTTTTCGTCAATCCTGTTATTGTCAGTTGATTATTCTGCCGAAATCCTCCTTAACTTTTTTTTGGTTCAAAACCTTGTGCCGCTGTCACTAACCTTGTTGGTAGTTGAATTCCTCACAGGTTTATTTTTTAATTGAAGGAAATCTTTCCGATTTGCTAATTAAATCACTGCCATCTAGTACCGATGTTGGTTTAAGAAAGTGTGAATTGGCCTCTCTTATCTATTGCTGCTGTGGGTTCTAGTTTGTTGTGGTGTCACAGTCCTCTTTATTCGGTTTGACCAGCATCTTTTTCAGGCGGTGCCACATTCGGAATTGTGGTAGAGGAATTCTTGTGATTTTTTGGTGGGTCCCTTGTAATCTTTTTTTTTTTCTCTCTTTTTCTATATTTGGACAGCGTGGTGATGATTTTGTGTGGCAGTATTATTTATAGTTATTTTTTGACATTTTTAGTGAACTTGGTGATAGTTGGGCTGTGTAGTTTGGCAAATATCACCTTTGATAAATTTACGTGGTTCTCTACAACACTGAGATAGTGTACATTGAACCCTTTGTTTGAAGTTAGAGGACTGACAAGAAAGAGAGCAAATGAACTCTCTATGTCATCCATAGTCTGTCGAGTTCTCCAGCTACTGGAGGTTATTGATATAATAAAGGTTTATCAAATACATACATAATTTGCTTCTCTATGTGCTGTTCTTGTTACCGGTAGTTTTATGCCAGCAATTATCCAACCAGCATGGAATGGTGCCACTGAATCTTGTAGATTGACCCAGTAATCTTCTTGTCCTTTATTTACTTTTTGTTTCTTTCTCGTCAAATTCTAGCCTTGAGCTTGTGCATTACTTGTCATTGCTTTGCTGTACTGTTGCATTCTGCATTGATTGCTCATGTTAACTTGTCTTCTTACGCTGATATACCAAGTAAGACACGATTTTTCTGAACCTCACCAGAACTGAAGTTGTAGTATTGCAGCTTCTTGATACTGTATAGTATCTTCTGTTACTCGCTATTAATGTGGTAGTGTCCAAATGAACATCTCAGGGGGATACATCTTTGATGCCTAAAATTTCAAGATCATGGAACAGTTCTGAACTTCAAGTAATACTGATCTGTGTTAATTGTGTAGGATATAGGGTTGAGTATGGTCTAATTCTAATACTTCGTACCAAATATCGACTTTATGTGATGCGTGTAGAGATATGCTAGCTGGATATTACTTCATTTGTCTTAATCTAATGCCATTACTTAAAAGCTGGGAATAATTATCTTTATGCCATTTGATTTAACGTTCTATTTGATCTTTCCATGTGAGTGCTTTAATGCTTTCCAGTTTTGCTAATCTGAATTGATTACTCGGAACCTATTCTGTGAAAATAGAAACTTGCTACACTTACAGAATTTGGTTCACAGAATTTATACAGGCGGTATTTGGCAGTTTCTGGTTCAAAGATGACCGGGACAAAAAAAGGAAAGGAACAAGAACAAGAACAACACAGATGTTGCTGTGAACAAAATCCCTGAAAAATTCTGTGGCAGCATTTGTAATGTGAACAAAACCTCAACAATTAGAATTATTCGTGAAAATATCTCATTGCTTATCCAACTCTGGAAATGTCTTATCGATGAATGTGAGGCTTACAAATTGATCTAATGGTGATGAAAAGTTCTTTAATGGAAAATCGTGGATTATATTAGTATAGAGACATTTACCGCAAGCAAGAATGGCTTGTCCAAGCAGCATATCCAGGAAGAGAGTAAGAAAAAAAATCAGAAATTTTATAGTTACACTTGACTATGATGAACTGAAATTTGCATATTCTAATTTCTGGATGTTAGTCTCTCTGTCTTAGCTCGAATAAATATGAAAATATTTTCGTAATTAATGCCAATAAAGAGATCTGCCTATATGAAACAAGTACAAATTTAGCCCCGTTTCACAACTATTATTTTAAAACTCTTTAATTCTTATACTCATTTTCAACCACATATTTACACAATAAAATAATTTGCACGTAAATTCAAATTTTTTTCATATTTTTTAATCATACATCTTCCAAAAAATGATTATTCAAAACTTCATTTTATCAAAATAATAGTCATCAAGCAGGGGCTTAATGTTAACTTTCATAAAATACGTATAGAATGAAATTAACAAGTATACTAATTTTTATCTTAAAAAATATTTTACAAGAGAGGTGAAAAACATATAGGTAAGAATTTTTTCCAATTATTTTTTTTTTGGTTTTTGGTGAATTTTGTTCTAACTTCAAAACAAGGGGTGTTTGGCATATTTGCAATTCATAATTTTCAAAGTTTGTTCGTGTTTTTTAATCAGAAAATACAGAACGTGAAACTCTTTATATTGACTTCTTCTTTCTTTAATGTTCGAGTTTGCCTTCGTTAGTGTACGACACAAATATCACATTCGGATTCCATTGTATCTTGGAGGCGGCTTTGCTTGTGTATCTCCATAGTAGCAGACAAATATCGTCTTGAGGAAAGCGTAAATACGAACCTTGATATCCACCATTTCAAGTCATTTTAGAATATCTTCATCGTGGGTTTGATTTGATCTTTTAGATAGGTATGCTGTAGTTTTTTCTAGGGCTGTAAGCAAAAATCGTCAAACCGGAAAATCGAACCGAAACCGCAATTTCGAAACCGACGGTTTAGCGCCACGTGGACCCGTCAACAAAATGGTTTTGAACCAAACCAAACCGATCAAAAACGGTTTGGTTTAGGTTTGAGAATTTTAATTATGGTTTAAAACCAAACCGGACCGGCGAAAAAATATATAAAATAAAAAATTGAATTTTTTTGAAAATTTATCCAAAATTNTTTGATGGAAATTGTTTATGTACTATGTATATGATCATATTCTATTTGTGTGGACATACTCTTGTTTTGTGGCTGAATTAGGCATGATAAAATATGTCAATAGAAGCTTAAAAGTGTTCATGTGCAATTTGAAATGTGGATGAACTGTTTAATAAGCTAAAAGAAACCAACAATGACTCCAGTGACAACTATACTTGTATCAATTTAATTGTTGTATTTTATTGTATGTTTAGATATTTTGTTAAACTGTTTCTTTAAGTATTTTGAATTAATAAGGATGATATCTATTCGGTTAGCCTATTAAAGTCTTGGATTTTGATCCAGTAAGCACAAAGTTTATCATTTAAGGTGTTGCCCTATTGATGTTTCAGTAACTATATTATGGAACTATATGCTCTCAAACAAATATTTAGTTTATAGGTGTTTTGAATCTTATATTTAGTTTATTAGACTTGTATTGTAACGTTATCGTAACGTCTTAACCTAAAAATGGTGAACGAAAAACTATTATTAGGATTTCACTTGGATTTAGTTGGTATTTAAATTTATAGTAGACATATTTAGTTGTTTTAGATTTATTACTATTAAGATATAAATATATATTGAATTCAATGAATTAATAACATAAAAGTAGACAGACAAAAAAATATACGACAAAATCGGACCAAACCGTTAGGTTTATGTTTTAGTTTTTTTCAAACCGTTCAAAATTATTTGGTTTAGGTTTGAGTTTTTCTCAAACCGATTTAAACGCTAGTTTTTTCAACCCGTTTCTTTTCTTCAACTTAAAATTCAACGTGATTTTCTCCAACTCTATCTACTTCTTGCCCTGATCATTGCGAATATGACACTAACATTAGCAAGATATGTAAGGTTAATAAACCAGTATCCATATAATTGGATGCTTGACCTGATAATCTTCAAATTGAAATAAGAGATTAAAGTCTAGGGGACTCGTTAACACTTTTTTTTCTGGAGTTTGGGGTTCCGTTGCAATTTTCCTTATTTTTTATTTCTTTAGATACTGCTAAAATCGTGAAAGAATTTTATTTTAAATTGAAAGTTCACGAACTCATTTGAGGCAATTTCCGAATCTGTACGGTGGCCGTTGATTGAACTGAAGAGCCGTTATTTGCATTTCGGGCTTCACTTTGTTGTACCATAAATTGATTTTATCGCAATCAATTTGGGTTTCGCGGCATACAATCACCATATTTTCATCTTAATTTTCGAATTAGAAAAACCTTGGTTTCTCCGTCTTTCTTGGACAAGAAAAACAGGTGTATCCAACCAGCAAAAATTAATAAAAGGCAACAGATCTATATATATGCGATTCCAATTGTGCCTTTACAATTTTCTTGATTCTCCTCTCACTAGGCTTGAAGTGCTAGAATGATTTGTCTTATGTCTCAGGCAGTCTTTCAATTCTCCTCTTCATCTGTTTTATTGCCGATGGACATAATCAAATCTCCTGTGAAATCCGTAAATGTAATTCCTTATGTATATATTTCTATATTTAATGTGTATGAAGTATTCTGGGCTTGTTTCGTGGAATTGACATTTTTTTTTTGCCTTCTGGAATAGATCTTTGGTTCCCAGTTGAAATCTTGGGAAATTGAACAGACCCACTTGAGATTTTTGGATGCTTTCAAGTAAGTCTCTCGAAGTTATAATTATCATCTTTTCTTGTGAATTTCAGTTATTTAGATGTGATGCTTCTTGATCTTAATAATCAGGTTTCGAGGTCTTCATTTGTAAGAGAAAACCAATTAAGAATTGGCTTTTGATGTGTGGATATGTTTGATGTTATATAGTTGTGGCTTCTTGTTTACGACATACTACTGCACATTGATTTGAGTCTGTTTGAGGAGATTACAAGGAAAATATCGTTTAATGTTAATTTTAGCTAACTAATTTTTCTTTCATAGACACCATTTTTGGTAAGAGACAGTTGATACAATGGATATTGTTATTGCGAGTTGTGCCGTAAAATCCTACTCAATGTATGAATTGCTAGCATATAATCCCCTTGCGGAGATTCTTCTTGACAGTACTCGTGTGTCAAATATTTATAAGATATAGTTTTTCCATCTTGTCAAAATGTGACAATGGTGAACTGAGGACTGATGAATAATGATACTGTAGTCATGTGGCTGGCGATTGAAATAGGATATGAAATAACCAATGCACGTGGATGTCAAGTGGTTGACCAGAAAACCATTGCTCAAAATCTAAAATATTTTAATATGATATTATGGGTTGTTCATTACCAGAAAGACATGAGAGTAAAAAGCACCCTAAAACCTGATTCTCCCAGCATGCAGCTCGAGCTGTGGATGTCTTCATGTATACACTCACACACATTGTTTGCATATAGATATTTATAGTCCTCATTGTTGGGTGTGTGCGTGGAGTTTCTTATATCTTTGCACTTCTATTCAGGATTTCATTTTATAGCCTTCATTTGGAAATAATTTATAAATAGACAGAAACGAGTGATCGATAAGTGAATAGTACTTATTATTCCATTGGAACGTGTGGTTGAAACTGAAGTTTGACAATTTATAATTGATCATTCACAAATTAGCCAAGCGGAGGCATAAATTTTTGTTTTGAAAATAGGTTTTTTCTTGCCTTTATGAGCTTTATAATGTTGACATATTTAAATATTATATTATATCTTTTTATGAATAAAATTAGTGTCTGAGTCAGACTTAATTTTAGAGTTCAACATTAGATATAAACTTACACTAATTACTTGAAATCTATTGAGTGAAAATTAGTTCCACCTATGAAGGTTTAGAGTTTCTGCCATGATTAAGGAGATATGGTCAATAAATCTATTGAGATCCCCCAAATTCTTGCATCATATGCTTCTGATTACATTGTTTGATGGTGGTTTATAGGACATAATTGCATTTTAAGATTACAGACCATGCAACACTCGAGATTGACCCCAAGAGATAAGCATGCCTTTATTTTGACTCAAGTTATATGCGCTTTGTAATATTGGGTATTACTAACAAATTTTTTTCTGCTCTACACGATTGCTGTAATCAATGTAGAAAAACTCCAACTTTAAGATTGAAAGTCTTGAGGGAGTCTCCAGGTCTAACTCAGGAGATCATAGATAACCCGCAGAAGAGCATTGGAACAACTGAGAAGGGTTCTGATACTTTCAAGGAGATGAGACATCGATTTCTTAGTTTCAAAAAGGATAAATACCTGTATGAATCATGTAATTTAGACCTAAATATTTCATAATGTTTACGACAATGATTTTTTCCTGACTTGGATTTATATACTTCAATTTGATAGGGAAAACTTAAAACATTATCAAACTCTTGCTGAGGTACAAGCACCTAAGGTAATAAACATGTTTTTCTAATTTCAATATTGGAATTTGGAACAGATGTTGGTTGAAACTAACATTTTTGAGATCAGTTCATGGTGATTGCTTGTGCAGACTCTCGGGTTTGTCCCTCTACCATCCTGGGGTTTCAACCAGGAGAAGCCTTTGTGGTCCGGAATGTGGCAAACCTGGTGCCACCACATGAGGTATTTGCTTCTTATTGGGCTCGTGTCACCTCTCCTTTCTAAGTGGATAAGTATGGTATTTAAAAATTGTAAAATCGATTTTTGGTTTTTGGATGTGAATCTGAATGATATGCACATGTATTCTTCCGATGCAGAATGGACCTACAGAAACAAATGCAGCTCTTGAATTTTCTGTGAATTCTCTTGAAGTAAGTGAAATATCTGCTTAACGTATTTTAGGCAATGCTTTTTCTGGTTTTTGTTAACTAGCAGAATAAATACGGTTTTAACTGCAATCAGTTTACTGGGAACAAGACTTGGCTTCTTCTTGTTGAATTGCAGTTGGTAAACCACAGGGATAAGAAATAACCGAACTAGCCAAATGAAAAAGGACCAAGTTTTCTATTCATTAGCCGAGCGTGCCTAGTGAAGTGCCTCTATTATAGAAATGAAGGCATACCAGCCAAATGGTATTTTTAAAAAGAATGAATGCTAATTTTCTGAAACTTGGTCACCCCAATTGTGTATGAATTCATAAAAAATGTGTGTTAGGAAACAAAGTTCATTTAGATACTGCAATGAAAGATAATATCTAAAAGCCTAACAGTCACTGGCGCAAACTGCTCAAATACATTTAAAGCCAAGAGACATGGATTCGAGGAAAAGTTATTCCTTACCCCTAGGCAAAAGCTGAAGCCTTTAAGAAGTTATTTATTTATTTATTCTTGTATCACTTGGTTTAGCCTGTGAGTTCAAATGCTTGAGGACCTCAGTATCAATTTTAGTTTATTTTTTTCAAAATTTTCACATCTTTATCATAGCAGAAACTATTTCCTTCTTTCTGGGAAAACTTAGTCAAGATTTTGTCTGCAGGTGGAAAATATACTAGTTGTTGGTCACAGCTGCTGTGGAGGGATCCGTGCCTTAATGAGTATGCAAGATGAAAAAAATTCAAGGTTTTGTTATTCTCTCTTCTACAGTGATGTATAACCCATCTGCTTTAAATTCTCTTCCTATATCTTTACGTTTTTCTATATTTTGCAGTGGCAGCTTCATTAAAAGTTGGGTAATAGTTGGAAAGGCTGCAAAGTTGAGAACAAAGGCTGCTGTTTCAAACCTCGATCTTGATCAGCAGTGCAGGCACTGTGAGAAGGTGTGGCCCCCTATTGTTTTCTTGAAAATTTTACCCTCATGTCCCCTAACACCATGCATGATGAGATTTTGCTATGTTGCACTACGATCACCATAGGTGGTCACTTCTCACCAATTGGAGAATAGGATCAGAGCAAACATGTATCATGAGGATTACAATTCTCTTTCTCAGATGGATACTAATCGGAGCTCGTTTTCCATTTTCCAGGAATCAATTAACATGTCATTGTTGAACTTACTCACTTATCCGTGGATAGAAGACCGGGTAAAAAAGGGGACGCTTTCACTTCATGGTGGCTACTATGACTTTACTGATTGTACATTTGAAAAATGGACGCTTGATTGCTCCAGACGCACATCAAAGGTTCATGGTGAATACTCCATTAAAAATCGAGAATTTTGGTCTTGAGTTTGCTTTCACATTTTCAAGTATGTTGTTTCCTTATCATCTTTGATTTTAATTTCTGTATCAAATACAAAGCTGTGATTATAATTCATATTTACCTTGTATAATTTTCAAGCAAAGACGCGATAGTGCTGTAGAATCCAAAAGCCTTGTATCCTACAGACTAATTTTTCTTTTTCTCTGCTGTTCAATATATATACCTTTCACTGAACTTTTTATGATTTACTTATTTTGTATGTCATGTACATGTGACTTTTCAATGATAATCCTTAGTGATGGTTTTTGGCCCCCATTGAAGACTCGGAACGCTATAAATTTGAAAAATTGGGGACTCGATGCAACAATAACTTTGTTGAGGAAACCAAACGCTGTTCAAATATTGAAGAGTTCTTGTAGAAGAATTAATCTATTCTCTACGTTAGCAAACAGGAACAGAACTCTTTTGGTCACCCAACTTTCAGCCAAATTTCATTCTAGTCATTCAATTTAATAAGTTAGAACATATTGGGTAGGACTTTTGTTTTTGCTTTTGGTCCTTGTAGTAGAATTTTTTGAGAAAAAAGTTTGATTAATTAATATTTGAAAACAAAATTCTAAAAGAGCTCTCTCTTCCTTCCAAGTTTCTAATTAGAAAAAAACGCTTTTATAAAATTAACAAACAGGGTTAAAAGTAGCTTTTAAATTTCAAAAGTTCATTTTGACTTCTAAAAAGACATGCCAAACTGACCTTTAATTTTGTTTCAACCATAATATTAACAATTCCACCTATGTGGCACGTGGAACATATGAAGGGTCCAGTTTTGCCATTCAGAACTTTGTTACACTTACAGAAAGAAGGGGGTGGGTGGGTTTCACAGATACTCATTCACAGATACTCACAATACAGGAAAGGGGGTGGGTTTTTTTTTCTTCTTTTTTCATTTTTTATTCTGGTGTAAAATTTATGTGAAAAATTCGTTGTACATTTGCAATAATCCTGCCATTAATATGCTGAATTAGCAATTCAACTTATGTGGAACTTGACATCCAGTTTTTTCTATCATGTGTTGTCAGGTATCTACTCATTACCTGTGTCGTAATCGAAAGATTGACATTGCATAAATTATTAGAATAATGCTTTGTGTACAATTCATGGTTGATAAGGAATTTGACAATCCATGTTAATTCAAATTCGAATGGGCGGGAAAGTGTGTGGTATTTAAAAACTGGCCACTNACCAACCAACCCTTGTTATCCTTGCTGTTACTCACATCTCTTCATTATTAATACTCATAATATATTAATGCTTGATGATATCAATCAAGCTTAAACAACTTTTTCCTGCTAACATCTTCCTGTAATCTGCTCACATAATGGCTTGTTCTCGTCTAATTGTTTTCGTAATGATTGCAATGATCACTTTTTCATCAATGGATGACTACAAAGAAGTTGCAGCCTTGCGCCATCTTCTCGAGGAAGGCCTGCCAGAGATTCCTAGGCCTGAATTACCCGACATCCCAACTTTGCCAAGGCTTGAGTTGCCAAAATTGCCAACACCCGAGTTTCAAGGCTTGCCAAAGCCAGAAATACCCGAGCTGCCAAAACCAACATTTCCTACCATTCGAGAACCTCATTCAACCACCAATCCTCAAAGAACTAAGTCTTCCTATATGGAGTTTCACAGTTTTAAGATTGATGCTTACTGGAATGAGGCATAAGTGTTGGAATTTTGTATCGGAAATTGGTTGTGACCAAGTTAAATGATTTAAGCGAAATTCGTTATTTGGTGAATAAGAAATTAATCCAAATTTAAGTCGCTTAAACAATTGAAATTGTTGGAAAATCGAGTAGAATATTGTGGAATATTCTAGAAAATGTGTAGATGAAAAGATGTGTCTTTTCATATGGAAGATCACGACCTTTGGAGATCATGACTTTTGGTATGATTACTCTCCAATAATTATGAATCTTAATTTCAAGAAATGTGTCGCTTGGTATGGTTGTATCTTTTGACAAACCTTTCTAACTATTATATATAGATTCTTATGTGTTTGGATTGAGGACAATTCAAAGTGATAGTTCCATATTATTACATTTCATGCTTACACTTTAGTTTGCATAAATCACTTGCATCAAAATCATGGTTATGGTAGAGAGAGAATTCCGTTCGAGTTCGTTGGTTTAAGCCATTCGGAGTGCTCCTATGGCTTGTCGCGGTCGTTGTATCTTGAGAGATTATTGCTAAAAATCGTTAGCACCGATGCGGGGCAAATTCATTTTAAGGACACATTGTCAAACACTTGCCTCGGCGATCACATCACTTGCATCTCATCTTTCTTTTTCTGATTTCTTATTGTAAGGTTTAAATTAAAGAATGACACGCGTTCAAGATTGGAAAGTGATGAATCCATATTTATATATTCGAGTCGGTAATTCACTAATTTGTCTTCTCAAATCAGATTTCGGTAAGTCGAATGATATTTCGATTTGATGCATATTAACAGCATGTTCTTGATGAATATAATATGCACATTATCGGTGTAAAATCTCCTACAATCTTAAGATGAAATTCTGTTGTGCTTTATATTCTAAAGTTATTTTTGAATTATTGAAATTCGTAAGCCAACAATCATAGATTCCATGAAGTACTTAGAAAATTATTCTTATGATAATTAAAGTGTTTTCTGCAGAATGATTGAAGGTTAAGATACTCTTTTAATGATTCATATATCTTGATTAAGTCAAGTAGAGTATGGCAGAATACTCTTAATAGGAGATCACCTATGTAAGTGTGAAGTGTGGCCGTTTCAATGAGAATTGTTCGAGACTAAAATTCTCTAAACACCTATGAAACCAAGAGTGGTTCAGGGTCAAAATGGACACAATCATGAGAACCATGAACGGTTTAGGGAAGACGTTTGTGTGAGCATTGTTGTCTTGGCTTACACCAATAGCTGAATGGTTCAAAACATCACGTTCACCAATAAACCAGCAAGTCCGATAGTATTTCACTAAGGGACGTTCAAGGCCAAAAGCTACCTTCTCTGATGCAGCGTTTTCCGCCCTCTCTCTACTAGTGTCTGTATAGTCATTTACATTAATTTTCATTCATGTGGGGGATTGTTGGAATTTTGTATCGGAAACTGGTTGT